TTGCCTCAGGAAATACATTAATCAAAGGCTCCCAGAGGCCTAAAAACCATTTGCTCCAATCCACCAAGGCAGAGTACTGATAAAGACCTGAGTAATGTAAGGAGCTACATGTGTTCTTGAGACAGAATACATGTAAAATAGGAGAGGACATCTAACTAAAACCTTTTAACCAAGTTCTTTTAGCAGCTTACTGACATCACTCTTAGGAGAGATCAAAGAAATAAAAATGTTATTCTGACCATGAAACCACCAACAGACATCAGATAATTTAATTGAACCATGCTGTCCAAACTGAAATACAGAAGGCAACATCAAGAAGAGTATCTCTGTGGTGCAGCTCACATCATGGAGAGAGACAATCAGGCCAGTATGAAGAACTGATCAGTTTATGCAAGGGCTCTGGAGTGTTCTCCAAATATATATATATATAACCCCAAATGTCCACGACCAAGGCAGATAAAGAGTGTGCTAAGAACTGAAGGAGAGTTGGACCCCTCAATGCATATGTAGGGCTTCCTCCTCTCAGCACATCAGTCTGGGGTCCTGGGATTCAGCTGGAGGCAGAGCTCACAGTGACAATCAGCCCAGTGCTGCAGAGAGGACACCCTGGGGAGGTTTGCTGGAGGTACAGTACCAAGCCCCTCAACCAGCTTCCCATGACCCACGGTCAGGCACACTCCTGCCAGCAGGAGTGGCCGAAGCAGAAGGCACTCTTGCCTTACATGGTTTGCTCAGCAGTCGGTTTAAACCAGAACACATGTCCTAACTCTCCTCCTCATGCATTACATAAGCTTTCTAGGGCTGAGGTGTAGTTGCTAAGCAGTAATTTTGCATGACTAAAAAAGAAACCCATGATTGCTAGGTTCACTAAATGTTTTTTTCCCCTTATTGCGATATAATTATAGCTATAATAAAAACATTGCAGAACATTCATCAGCATGCAAAAATTAGGTCAGGAACAGAGCAAGTATATCATATATGCCTTTTAGAAGCCTTTTTTTCTTCCTTTGCCATTGGAGGGGGAAGGACAGGAAAAGTTTGGTATTGCATAAAATCATAATTAACAGGCTTTTCCATCCTGTCAGCTAACCTGACATTAGCAGAAGTTCATGTTTCAAAAGGCAGCTTGCTTCTCTCATCACAGAGGTTGCCTAAAGCCTCGCCAAAGGTTCCCCTCCTACAGCCTCAGCACACAGCATTTTCCTTCTGCTCTGCAGTCTGAAATGGGGACAGTGACACATCCCTCCAGTGGGGAGCTGGAAGCAGATGTGGCCCCATCCAGGAAAGGAGCCCTGCCCCCAGACCAGGTCCATGGGGCACACATGCCATGCAGAGCGGGTCCGGTGCGCTGCTACATGCCAGGCTGCCATGCACTCTGTGGGCTCACAGGGAGGGAGCCCGGAACCAAGGCACTCCGTGCCAGCCTGCTGCCAGCTGAGACACCTTTTCCATGGAGTTTCAGAGGCTGGGCCCAGTCAACTGTGTGCTGAGCCACTGGATTAATTCAGTGCTGGGATATTTTCCTGAAATTGCTGCAAAATTTCTTCCCTTTTTCCCTTTTTATCCTAAAGCTCCTAATTATGTCCCCAAAAACTGTCCAATATAGCTTTCCCTCTCCAATATTTCTGATATTTAATTTTTTTGACATACATTTTAACACTTACTCACTGCCTCCATAATTTTTAATAATTTTGCCTTTCTTTATCCTTGGTGAGGACTTGCTTTCCCTCATGGTCTCTGCAAATTCCTTGACTGCTGCCAACTCATGTGTCTTGCCAGTGCCCTTCATTTCTTCCTTAGAAGTCCAAGGAGGAAGCTTGCCACAGTTTAATCCCTTCTTTCTCATCATTTTCACTGTGCCAACTGCCCTGTGATAAGATGTTGCCAGTGAGTTGGTTCCTCTGCCCAGCCTCACCCTGAGCTGCCCACACCTATCCCTTGGCGCTGGAGACAACACATATTTATCATGGAAATAAATTCCTTCGGAGAACAAATCAACTTAGTGATAGCCTTTGCTTCCTATGACCTAGATTATTTGTTGTATTGTCACTTAACTAATACAAATAGTAAAAATACCAGATTTCCGTGTTTAATTAAAAAATTGAATAAATGAAACTTAAATCATGTAATTGCCTATATGCCCATGGGAAATATCTTCCTGATTAGCAAAAAGAAGTATCAAATTCACTGCAAAGACAACATTTATTTCTGTACCACCTGTTTTAATGATTACCCATCAGGAAAGATCAGTTTCATTCCAACGGTAACAAAAACAAGATTAAAATGGAGGCTTTGCCTACACACTTCATGAGAATAAAAAAATACTCACTGGATATTGATTCCTGTGATTCCAAATCAAGCAAGTACTTCATTGATTGTTGGGGTCCTCAATTCCACATTCCTGCCCCTAACACAGCACATGACCCATATACTTGAACCCAAGAGACTCTGTGGGGGCAGTTCTGTTCCACGTAGGGTGAGCAGGGTGGTTAGCAAACACTGCCAGCCTTCATTAGTTGAATACTGAGATTATTTGGTGTCAAACACATTCTGAAGCTTTCCTCAGGGAAAATAAAGTGTGCTAATCATAGCAGGGGACCGGCTGCCTGATCCCTGAGCTCCTGCACCTACTGCTCATTAGGGCAGGAATGTACAGGCTTCCAGGAGAAGTTACGTTTCTTGAGCTGGGTCTTTGGTGGGTGTTTTTGTTTACTTTTGGGTGTGGGGGGGTTGTGGACCGTTTGCTTGCTTTGGTGTTTGGTTTGGTTACCCCCCCTTCCCCCAGCAGTGGGTTCCTATTTAGACTTTCTCCTTTCCTGCAGGAACTTCTATTATTATAATTCCTTGTTAAACTGCTTGAAAGAAGTCATCTCCAGCAGAAGATGGGTGCTTGGTAGTAGCTAATAAACCTTGTTTGCCCCATGTGCATTGACTATCCCCAGAGCACATCTGTGCTTACTCTTTTGGGTGTTTTCTCTCTGATCCAGCTTCACACCTCTCAGTGGCCATCGCTACTTCTAAATGCAGTTGAAAGCACCTTTAGCAAAGCAAGGGGAGCAGCTCTTACCATCAGCAGCACTTGCCTGCTGTTGCACCGAGATGGATACTTCACACCAGAAGAAGTGGTAATTATCTTAATTACTGCCATTTACTACATAGAATTTAGAATTGGGACTACAGCTACCTAATTCAGGTTTGCTTGCATAGTGCTGGAGAGCAGCAGATGCCTTTTGCTCAGATAAGCTGAGGGCAGACAGTGCCACCACACAGCTAGAGCTGCTGTGGCAGAGCCAAGCCCTTCTCTGCCCCTGCCCCGTGTCAGCTACTGCTGAGTGCTTTAGGAAGAGGATGCTTCTGCCACAGCTGGCTGTGATGGTACCGGGTGTCAGGACAAGCACATAACAGGTAATGCAAACGCTGCAGTGCAACATGTGCATGCAAAACCCCACCAGCATCATTTAGGAAAAAAAATCCCATCTCCTGATCACAGACCCAATGACATTAGAGTGCTGCCATTGCAAGGAACTGAGAGCTGATTGCAGTGACAGGACATTGCAAAGGGTCAGCCACTGTGAGGCATCTTGAAAGGAAGGCAGGAGCAATGGAGGGTCTGAGGAGCGGGATGTGCAGGACCATTAGGCAAAACAGGAGTGAGGAAATGCATCACATACTATCAAGGCAACAGTATGCTGGCTTGGAACGAGGTAGCGTGAATGTTTGGCTGCAGGAGAGTGCAAGGCACATGTGACTGAGAGGTGTATGGGCCACTTTTTGGGCTGGGGGGAAGGCAAGGCTATGGTTGGAGACATAAGTTCTTCCATCTGTGTCAGTTGACTGGGATAAATAAAGTGGTAACGTGCACTAATTAATACAGGAGCTGTAACAGCAAGTCACTTTTAGTACTACATAAGGTTGGAAAAAAAGCCCCTGACACTTTAGATTCTCTCAAAATCTCCTCCACTCTGCCTCCCCAGCAGGCCCCAGCCCAGAGCAGCATTTCCCACATGCTTACCAGTGTACAGCTCCAGCTTCACTCTTTTTTTCCTGGGATCCTTCATTCTCCACTTCCAGGGGACCTGCAGAAGAGCCACTTTCTCTCCTTTCCTCTCCTAGCCAGGCAGGCAGGAAGGGGAATGCAGGGAGACACTTTATTACTAACAGGAGGGAACACAGCTGGTTGTGATCTCTAGGGGATTATTCCTTGTCCTTCTCCTCCTGATCCAGATGATGTTTGCAGGGCAGGCTAAGTGTTTGCACCAGAGCTGAATGTTTGAAGTACAAAGCAAATGTTATGGGATGTATCTGCATTTGAAATTCAGTGGTGTATCTCTCTACTCTGGGCAGCTACAATTGTGTAATTGTAAACTGCAATTCCAGTTCATATAGGTAATCATAACAATACATATAAAATAGGAAGTAGATGGTTTGACAATATTTTTTTGGTTTATTTAAGAGTTTTGAAGCATTTTTGAAAGGCATCTTGGACAATGAAGAAAGGATTTTTCGTAGCAGCAAGGAATTTGTGGGAACCTTAGCAAAGTGTCAGGCTCCAAAGTATTTAGATCAGAATGGTCTTGTCAAGACTGGTAAAAGTCTAACTCACTGCTTTAAAGTCAGAGGTTGTTTGGGATTAAAGTACCAATGTAAAAAATGAAACAAGTGGTATTTTTGAAATATGTTCATTAAGTAAAAATAAATAGCTTAATGTTAGAGTTCTAAAAGCAAAATTTAATAAATTAATATATGCATGCCAGATAAAAATACAAAATTACAATTGAAATAGCAATAATAATAAAGGAACACTGTTCAGCATTGCAGATTTCACTGCAACCACCATAAACATAATTGAGAATTACTTAAAGTAACATTTAAAGTACAACTTTGTTTCTGATCAAAACAAATTACTATACGATGAAAAAATGGAAAGAAACCCAAGAAGAAATCAGTCCCAAAAGTGGAAGAGAATAATATAAAATGTCAATAAATAGCCAGAGGCTCCATTTCACATAAGTTGGCCTTCTTTTTAGTATCAGAAACCAATTACATAGAACAAAAAAGCAAATTCACAACAGGTTTACACGGAGAAACATGCTGAATTACAATCACAAACTATCCAGAACAAAGATGCTGCACCAGTTCAGTTGTTTTCTTCATGGAATGAGTCTCACCAGAACAGGGAGAACAGGGAGCAAATCATGCACTAGCTTTAGGCTTTTTGTTTTTTATTTTACCATGATAAACACCCATGATTACTAGTACTGGAAAGTATGTGTTAACCTTTTTCAACATCAGCTGAATGGCACTACAGAAACGACAAAGAGTTCCTTCATTTTTATCCTGAATACACCAAAAGCTCTAGCAAATATGGAATTCAGTGACAAGAGCCATTAAATGACTTTAAAATATTCCTTCATCCATAGAACACTGTTGCTTCCTTTTTTATTACAAAACCCCCAAAATATTCAAAATAAAATGTCTTCATTTTTTATAAGCATCTCCACCACAAGTCTCTGATAACGGATGTCATTCAATGCCGCCATCGCATCCAGCTCTGGCGCTCTCATAAGAGTTGGTCCAAAAACTATGCCCAGGTTCTCTGCACTCATCAGATTTTCCTTTTCATGGAGTGTTACTCTGTAAAAAAAAAAAAAAAAAAGTGATTTTCACATTTCTTTTGTGCCAAACTATGCCTATATACGCTTGAAACCCAAGAAAACTGGACAGAAATGTGTGCCTTTTCCCACGGAAAGGAATGTGTGCCCTTCCCCAAGGAGAGACCGCCATTTCCAGCAGGTCACATATGGGAGTGTCAGGTGAAACACTCAGAACTGAGTGAAAGCAAATGCTGTGTGGGTTTGTGGTGAGTCAGTGTTTCTGTCCTCTTGCCACGCACACAGACTGTGCTCACTTGCATTGCATGAACAAATCCTTTGGTATACAAAAAATAAAACCTCAAGGTTTTTCTTCCATTTTTCCTTTTCTGCCTTAACTTTTATTTAAAAAGTCAGATGATATTACCAAACTGCTGTGTCTCCAGTCTGTAAATACTCCAGATTACCTGATTACCTGATTGTCTGATTACCTGAATTCAGCAGCAAGACAACAGCTCACAGCTTCTTTCAGCAAAAGAATTAAAAAGTTTAAAAAGACTGAATTTTCTCACCCTTCTGCCTTATCATTCACCTATACCAGAAATGTGATGCACAAAAGGAACTTGCTAAATAGAGCAGCAACAGCTACTCTTGAACAGGGTGAGGAAAAATTTTCTTCACACTTCACAAGCTGTAAGGTGTGTTTTTTTGTTCCCATGTCTCTCATCCCTGTGTCCATTCTAAAACACTTGCTAGAAATGTCATTGAAATAAATGGACAAATCAGGCAGAAACGCAGTAGCTGAATTTTGCCTGAGGCACTCAGCAGAGTCAACGCATTCCTATTTGCAGAAGAACTACAAAAAGAAAAAAGCAGAAGAGAGCTTAAAATAAAGTATTTTTCTAAGGGAAAGGAAAGATTCTTAATATTGATAATAAGTTCATGTTACTCAAGAAACTAAAATGGATACTCTAACATGCCACATCAATTTCTCCCCCCCCCCGCTTTCCTGAATGAAATAGTATCTGTGCTGTTGTACTGGATATTCATCTGTCAGACTCTCTTTAACAATTTTTCAGCCTACTAACCAACTTCAATCATGTCTTGGGGAGCAGGAGAAACCTCACACAGAACTTATGCTCCTACAGTTTTGAGAAAGTGGCAGGTAGAACAAGAGGCTCTGCAGTAATGAGGCAGAGCTCACTGGACACGTGGCTGGAGGTCCAATTAACACTTTGCCTAATCAGCTCAAGCCAAGTGCCTGACATGCTTTTTAGGGTGTCAGGAATCTCAAGGGTAGATGAGATTTAGCAGAAAAAGACACCAGTCTATAATCATTAAGCTGTATTAATCTCTTGACCAGGGAGTGACTTATCACTCGCAGAGGTACGAATGGCTTTTTTACTGTAAATATTCACTGTAACCTTAAATATAGAACATATTTGTTAGGCAGATGACTTTTGTGTTTCAACACTGTGGAGTTTTTTTACTTATTTCCTTCAAGTGCTTTAAGACAGATGAACTCCCGTGCATGAGTATTTGCTGCTGTGCACACTACCACTCCCTGCCACAGTCCCTCTCAAGGATTTGGTGGGCCTTGACCAGACTTTTCGGGAGGTGCTAACATGGACTGATTGCTAAAAATGAGTTTGGCTTAGAGTTCTTTCCAGCTATTCCACCTACCTCTTCAGATGTGCCATGAGATATCGTAATGTTTCACAGTGTGCAGGCGGCAGCAGCTTCAACGCCTCATGGAGAATTTCCAGCTGTTCATCCGGATCGGTGGTTTCTGAAACACAGATGCTCAACTGTCACCACATGTACAGCCAGAATTCACACACAGAAAGGCAACAACTGGTCGCCTGCACAGAAGACAGGGTCTCACAGCTCTGCTGGATTACTCATAGCAGAGGATTTGCCTGCCCAAAATGGTGCTCAGAGCACCATCAGGATGTGACTAGTTTTGGACAAGAAAACTCCCCAAAGCAAACTGCACTCCACTGAAAGATTCCCTGCAGCCTACTAAAAAAATTCCTCCAGCAATCCTTGCTGACTGGACTATTTCTGCACAAGTAATCTACAGGTGCAACTCTGGGAGAGTACAAGGTACTGGGAACTTTGCCATCTGTGCCTTTGGCTGTCTCCATACTACTTGGGAAGAACCTTCTCCAGAGGAGCAGTAAGGCCAGCCCTTGTTTTCTACCCACAGCTACTTCACACCTTTCCAGGTGTGGCTGGTGTGACTACTACAACCCAGAGATGCTTCAGGCAGCCAGGATGTTCGGGAGAGATGTTCCAGCTGGGCTTACTGCTGTGCTTGCAAGGCCAGTTTCTGCAAGGCCAGCCCCAAAGGTGGCCTGAGGATGAGTGCTTATCAGGTTATGAAAACACTCAAAATGGACAACTCCAGAAACAAATGACATCTTATTTCTAAACATTTCCATAAATCACTTTCTTATTGGCAACATACCCCCAACAGACTTTAAATAACACTGTCAAGTACCAGGGATTCATGCAAGGTGCACAAGTGATGTAATCCACGTGTGATTAAAAGGAAGCATTCCTGGTGACAAAGGCAAAGAAAAATGTAACCACAATCACATAGCATCACACAGTCAGGTCATAATGTGCAGTGCATATCTACTCCTGCAATCCTTACTAAATAGGGCATGCAGGGTAAGAGCTGATGGAACAGCTATTAAATTAATAGGACAGTACAGCACAAAAAGGAGAAGAAAAGGAGAATGAAAAGCAGGAGCAAAATGTGTTATACTTACTTGCAGACTCTATAAACTTTGGGTAGGCATCATACGTGATGAGTGGAATCGGCAAATCCCTGAAGTACAGTTTAAGTGCACCAGTGATAATATTGATATCTTCATACATATTCACAGAAATATCAGCTTTTTCTCCATCTGTGTGGAGAAGGCACTGACATTAAAGCCTTGGAAATGTAAACAGATGTAAACAGCATTCAAAAGAAAAATAATAACTTTGTTAAGCAAACATTATTGAAACAGACATGACTACAGATTTCGGTTTTTAGAAGTATAACAGAGTTAACTGGATTGTGAATTTCATCATTTCAGGGTGAAAACCTCAAGCATTTTATAAAGAAACATATTCTTTCTTTGTTTCAAATAATTACTAAAAAATACAGTTTGTTGGATTTTTTCTACAAACTTGCCTGCCTGATCTAGCAGAATTTGTCTTGTATTAATGTGTGGACATTTAGCCATTTCTGAACATACTGTGTTGCCAAACAACACATTTGTCAACACTGAATGAAAAATCAGGGGAGTCTGGGGAAAAAAGCAAAAGATAGAAAACCAACTTTGTCCACAGCCCCCCATTTTTATAGGAAAAACATGTGTTCACCATTTAGCTACAACATACTACCTACTCTGGACTGCAGCGGATACAGATCGAGAACTTGGCTTCCCCAGCACATCCCCACCCTGCTAACACTGCAGAGGAGACAGATGTTGTCTGAATAGGTCCAGTCCTCCAGAGAAACAGGAAAGAGAGTTTCCAGTACAGATTTTGGCCTTGATTTCTATTGGGATAGGGGGACTGCAGCTGGAAAGCTTTTAATGTTCCCACTGCCTTTTCTCAGAGAGAAGAGTTTGTTCTCACTGACCTCCTTTTAGTCTGTAATAATTCAAACTTTGTTTGCACTATTGCATTCATCTTATTATTTTGGAGCTTTCATCCAGAAAGATGGATTTAAGTTGCACAGCCCTCTTAAGGCAGTTCACCACTTACCCTCTATCCCTCCCCCAGCCCTCTGAGCGTAGTTTTACTTGCAAACTAGGGCAGTAGTTCAGAAAGCTTTGTCCTTTCCTACACACATGGTTACTGGAGCACAGATACTGATGGAAGGAGAAAAGTAGATTTTTTGTAATAAAGGCCACAGTGAAGCTGATATGCTTTTCTGACGGGGAGTCTCCCCTCCTGCCAGCACAGCTGTCGGACTCCTTCAGACCACTGATGCAGTGGAGCATGAGACACAGGCTGTGTATATTTAATACATCAGCACAAAGTTCCAGCATGCAGGAAAGGCTGTACCTCTGTCAAATGCCATTTTGACATCTTCGATAAGATCACTAAATCCTGAGACTCTGTATAGTCCTTCGGAATTAAGACCTGCAATGAACATTTTAACAATATTAAAATTAGTCTTAATTTTAGTTTCCTTCTACCCAGGTTCTTGCCAGGTTTTTCATTTAAGGCAGAAAAAGCAGGCATGTTTTAAAAGCCTTATCAGGTTTTTCCTCTAGAATGAAACCTTATCCTGGGTTTTTAACCTTGACCCTTGCAGTAGCTGTCTTGTTATAGCAGCACTAAATTATGTTTACGCAAATGATTTCAGAGCTGAAGAAACATATTAAACCAATTACAACTGATTTAAAAATAACTGAGATTAACATACTTGATGATTGGTCATTATTTCAGAATGAAAACAAATACGCTAATTCTAGAAAAGGACACTCAGTGTGGATATGGGGAATAAGCAAGAGGGAACACAACAATTCTAACTGCCTTTGTTTTACCACATTCACTTAATTTTTTTAAATAAATATATTACTGGAAAGTTAGGTGCCAATATATAACTATGAAGCAGTAACTGTCTATTAAGCAATTTCTAGCAGAATCTATAAAAATTATAAATGGGTATGAACCATGAAATAATGCAAAGTATAATATTAGCTGTGCAGGGTAATTGGCAGTCATAAAATGTCTTGTGCAAATCTGTTTTGAACAATCATACATTCAGCAGAAACCCAGATGACCCAGATCAATCTAAATGGATTATCAGCAAAGCACCAGAAGTCCATTAACGATGCCTTACCTCTAGATTCAATTTCCCTAATGCACATGTCTACTACCATTGGTCTCTTAGTGAAGTGTGCTTTTACTAGTGTGGTAAGGTCACAGCTGTACACTTTTTTGACATGCTTCAGGTCTGGCTTGCAGTCATTTGGGACCATCTTGGAACACTGCTTGTGCACGTTTAAACCACAATCTGAGAAAAAAAAATGAAAATATGATTAGGCTGGTGTTCGGTAAAAATGTATCCCAAGGTCAGGACTGTGGAGTATGAACGGCTCCTGCAGGGTCTGACCTCAGCTCACAACTGTTACTTCTGCTGAGGGTCCTTAACCATCAAATGTGTGAGGCAGGGATAGCCCTGAAGTAAGGATTTCCTACCCGAGATGTTTTTCTACCCCTAGAAGGTCTAACACAAAGTGACAAACTTTCCATATGGTTTTTCAAATGAGGAGCTAGGGCTCCCCACAACTATTACATACATTGCTGTCATGACATAGACTCTCTTCCCAAGTTACTGGGGATTTCCTAACACTTCTATCTTCAGTGTAGTCCTGGACTCTGACACTTTGGACATCTCCTGGGGGAGATGAAGGTAGGGACTGGGTTACAATCAGGCTACAACCTCTCTGCAGTGTGTGCTGGCAAGGCAATGCCAAGACCTGAACCCCTTCAGGGACCCCTATGCTCTGGCCAGGTATGGCAGCCCTTGCCTGTTCCCCTGTTTGGAGGGGAGCTGTAAAACAAAGATGGGGGTCACCATGCTGGTTGGTGACTTCTTGCTACCAAGCAGCTGACAAAGGGTTTTGCTAAGTTAAAGTGGCTGGAATTTTGATGGCATTTCAGAGAATGTTTCTGACACAGTGTTGTAAGGCACCAAAATGATTCTTTTTACTTTAAAATTACTTAGGAATAATTAAAAAACAAACAAACAAACAAATAACTCCACAGCTTTATTGTAAACATGGAGAATGAGAATTAGTTTAAGTGAAACTTAATTGAGATCAGGGTATAGGAAAATATTTTTCTGCCTAAAACCCACCGAGAATATAATGTTCAGGGTTTGGGAAGGAAAAATCTAGGAAAACACCACCAATTATACTGTGAAGATGGGAAGAGCAATACAGCACCCCTGAAGCTAAGCCCACACTGCGATCAGCACCATGAGGCAGCAGACCTGAGGCACTGGCCCTGTGTGACTGTTTTCGCTGCCATCTCTCCTCTTCTGCAATGCAGACTCACAGGTGCTTGTGAGGAAACAGCACCTGGCAAGAATGGCAGCACATCGCAGTCAGGGTGGTTGGCATGCTCTGCTGGGCACTCCATATACACCGGGACTCCAGTGCTGCAAGCATTTCTGTACCTCACTGCACTGCCATCTGGAGAGCCCTGGATTTCTGCAGGATTAAGGGACGTAGGAGCTTGAAGGATCAATGCCTTGATGAGAATCTGTACTTTCTTCTCCCACTGCAGTACTGGGTATCTATTGAGATTCTGTTCGTATTTCATTCCTGTTGATTTTGCCAGTATTTGTATTTTCATTAAAGCTCCAGATTATTTGACTTCGTTTTTTCCAACACAGTAAATCCTAGAATTCATGGCTAAGTTTAATTTCCACTAAGTCTGCTGCAGCCTGCTGCTAAAAGCACTTTGTTTACTTAAAAGGCCTGTAAAGCAACAAGATTTGTCACTTAGGAACCTCTGGTTGCAATTAAAGTTCAGTGTGTCACCTTCAATCAGTCAAAACTTGCACAGATCCTGATCCAGATGAAATGGCTGATTAGAATTCTCTTTAGGTATTTCTGTGCAGGAGCAACTCCCTTCCTTGTGAGGAGCAGGTAATGCACACGTAGGGAACTGAGAACACTGAATTTCCCTCCTGGTTGTAATTGTGTGCTGTGAGTGCCTCTGTGGGCAAAACCATACAACCCAAAATGCTGTTACTCCTGGGGGTACCTTGGGGCCCACCCTGGGCAGCCTTGGTGGCTTGCCCTGACCCACAGCCCTATTCTGGGCTCACTTCAGCTGCAACACATCCCAGTGGGCTGCCTGGGAGCCCTGGGCAGGGGCAGGCTCCACTGCTGCCCCTCCAGGCGTGGAGAAGTGCAGTTTGGGCACTCGGGTTCCTTCAGTGTTTGCTAAGTCATCTCACTGGTGACAGAGCAAAAACAGTAACAGTCTTGCTTTCACCCAAGCACTTATTTAAATCCCACATTTAATCAAGCACTCCAAGACCCCAAACTGGAAGGTGTGTGAACATGTACATGCCCAGCATCTCCCTACCTATGGTTCTTGGGCATGGAACGAAACTCTGAGCACCCCAGCCAGCGCAGGCAAGGGGAGCTCCACCTGCACTTTAAATATCTATGCCCTCTGCTACATTTTGCCTGAACTTTGAAAAACCAAGTCCCTCTGTGGTTTAAATAGGGAACCCACATTCACTGGAAACTTGTGACCTGAGCCCTTTAGTGTGTCACTACTTCAGCTGTAACATGGCAAGGAGAAGCTGTTCTTGTCTCCTCTGGGTCTTGTAGAAACAAATTCGTTAAATATTTGCTGAAATGTGGAGGAAAAATTACTCATCTTTGGTGTAAGGTTTGAATCCTCCGTCATTAGTAAGACCAGCACTTTTAAAAATAAGAAGACAAAATACTGAATAAGTGTTATTAAAGCAGTCTGCTTTCAAAACATAGATGAAGTTGTGGAGTAAAAATAATGAGTAGTCAAATAATTAGAGGCAACATCTTAACACACACACAAGGGAAGCAATCTGAGACCACATAGGAAATCTTAATTCTTGACTTCCTTTACTTTGAAACTGTAACTTTTCAGTAACAGTATTTACAAATGCAAATATAATTATTGTACACAGAATTCCTAAAATTGCTGCAAAAAGCACCTTTTCCAAAATGCATGAACTTCTCTAGCATGTCTGGCAAAAATGATGTCTACAAGACTGGAATGGCAGCACCACACTCATGAGGACTCATGAACGGTTCTGTGCGTGCAAATTAGCTGCTTCACACAGACAGCAATATAGCTCAGAGTTATGTTTCTGGGAATCCAAGGATAATTAAGAATAAAATATACAAAAAAAAAAGAGAAAAAATCAAATCATACTCCCAAGTATCTTACACTTGACTTAAACCAATTATGGCCTTGACTGAGATGATCCTAATTATATTTATATACAAGAAAATTTCGATTCATTAAAATCTCTAACTTACAGAAATGTTTTCAGTGTGAAAACCTTGCTTCTGACAATAATTGTGTTATTGCTAATCCCATAGATTCAGATGGGCTTTTGATCTGACCTCATTAATACCAGAATAATAATTACAAATGCAGAAGTCAACTTTTCTCCTCTCTCTTTTATTCCTCCTTTGCATTTGATTAGATTTTCTGTACCACCCCATTGCTTAAGGGCTTCCCAACACTCCTGAGAAACATTTAAAACCTAGAAATATTTCAGATACTTAATGTTTAGAAAACGTGTGAGCATTATGTTCAATATTATTGGGCTATGTGGTGTCCTTCTAATAACCAAGGCTTTTTGCCTCTTATGTAAGCGTAGGAAACCATCTTACTTTAGCAATTCCCCATCAGTAAATACTTCTATGAAATTTCAGTGAATTTGCATAAGAAAAATTGTATTTTTCCCAATAAAGCAGCTGAAACTCACCAATACTGTGCTTCCTACAAAGTGGGCCTCTATCCCCAACTAACAATACTTCATGAAAGGCAAAACATCCATGTCTTGGTCACTAGTCCCTGCTTCAGTTGATAACTAAGCATAATGTCTTGCTAACTCCAGCAAGGTAGAAAGCTATGGCAGGAGGTCAGTCCTACCCTCCACAGAGCACTGGGAATTTGCTAGTTTTGTACTTAACTATACTCTGCTTACTTGTTAGTACTAAAAGACAGGAATTATCCTGCAAATTGAATATTATTAGATAAAAAATGTCCTCTGTTCTCATTGCAGATGCATTGAAAGCTTCAAACCCCATTATTTTAGAACCAACTAGGAAGGAACAAGAAAGCCAAGTTCTGAATTCCTCTGCGTGCTGCTGCATGGTGATGTCTTGTTTACACATGAGCTTCATGATTTGGCTGAGTTCATTAAGACCAAAAGGATTAATTTAATTTCCAACTGAGGGTCTATTTACTTTTCATTATGTCAAAACAAATCCAGAATAGTTGAATTGGTGTAGCAGCTTTACTCCGGACCTGAAGTAACCATGAACCTTATCCATTTCTTACAGAAGTTCATCAGCACTTAAGAGCTGGCTGGGTATATAACTTGGTGAGGAGCTACAGAAAAATCCCCCTAAAGCATTGTATCTGCTGATATATATACATCTGCTATAATAATATAGGACAGATGTAAAAGATGCAGTCATGAGCCCTTGCAGGTCAATAGTAAAACTTCTTTGGTTAATTAGAATTTCACCTCATACAGAGATAATTTCTCAGAACTGGAATTGTAAGTCACTCTTACTATTGCTTTTTTACAGTGCTATGATACTGTGGCCAACTTTCAAATACACCACATGTGATCAAACCCAGTGCAGTCATAAACTCAAGAGCTTATAGGAAGTTTGGAAATTTAAGAGGGGTAGGGAGAAAGTAATTTTAGATGACAGGTTTAGAAGTCTGTGCTAAGCTGCCCTGGCTTTAACAGCATATTGATCTAGGAGTTCAGGTGGGCTGTGACATTACTTCTAGGAGAGGTACTAAATTTACAACCAGCCTAACAATAGTTTCCTATGATGCCTAGGAAAAGGTTTGGTAATGTTTTAGAAACAGCTAATACTGATATTAGTCCACTGGGCTGAAAGAACAAATAACACGTTCATATTAATGCCTGAGCAGAGCCAAAAGATATATGTACGTTAATACTGCCCCATGAGCACACAATATAAATATTTGCAGAGACTAAAATATACCTAGCTGTCACCTTTTGTTGTACTGTTTGATTTGACTTCCATCAGTTTTAGATTTCCTGTGGTTTATGATTTACTGGCTAACATGGCTGCTGATCAAGCTCCATTGGAATGATACCTTACGCTACATACATCACTCTAATTACATTTCTGAATTATCCCAAAGAAAATCGATGCATTCTATCACAGCTGAAGAACAGCTTTAAGAGCTAAAAGGTAGATTTACATCACCCACAAAAAGTTCCAAAAGACT